CCCCAAAACCCCAAAACCCCAAAACCCCATTAATAGTAGCAATATTTAAAAACGAGAGTTATTTGGGTTAAACTTCGGCAGCACATTTTTATCGCTATGGAAAAGATTCCTGTTGATCGGCTTCCTTTTACTTAATCTCTGGGAGACCATTGGTTGGTTACTATGTATTAGGATAGCTTCTACTTACAATGTTGCTAGGTCTTTCTTTAGTGGGATATCCAAGGGAGTTGTAACTTTTACTAGGTTATCGACAAGTGAAAAATCTTGATTTGAAGCTCCTCTTGTAGCGTTTAGAATTCTTTTCGTTTGCGGAGATAAACTTTTAGTCAAGCTCTTTGTTCTCGGTCTTTCATGACGAATCTCTTCTCGAGCAGGATTTCCTATAGATAGATTTACTCTATCTTTAGAGGCTGATGTCTTTGGAGTGTTTGCATTTATATCCCAATCATCATACCCTTCTTTATTCTTTCTTCTAATAATAGTTTTCTGGGGAGAACTTGAAAAATCTTTGAATGCAAAACTAGAAGAGAAAAGCTCCTTTGTTCTTAAATTCTGTTCATGGAGTTCATTAGCAGCTATCATCTTATAAAATTCTCCCAGCATCTCTCTATAGATCTTATTTTTGCCTGGCTAGATCTTTGAGTAAAGCTTCATTTTGACTTCTGATCTTAATCAGCTCCTGTAAGATCGGATTCTTAAAAGATTCGATCTGACTTTGAATTTTTAACACCCGATTTTTCAAGGGTTCAACTTTGTTTTTCACAAACTCTTTAAAGTTGGTGAACTCACTGTCGATATACTTAGCAAAAGTTTTCTTCCTTTCTTCCAATGGCTTGAGACCAATATACTCAAACTCCTTGAGTTCCTTCCCAATCCTATCATAATTCTGTTTGTTTAATTGTCTAAAAGATCAGAATTGAGATGTACTTTGTTCTTTTCGAAGGTGACTTTAAGTCCTTATCATATGTATGATTCATTCCATTTATCTCATCAACATAAAAACTATTATTGAAATTCTTGCTCTCCTCTTCCAAAGTTCTTTGCTTCGGAAGTAGATCATCATTAACAGTTTTATGGACCTGAGAGGAATAAATTTATGAATAATTTACCATTTCAAGCTTGTTTTGAAGCTCTTTCAACAAATCGTCATGCTCTTTCATTGTTTCTTCATTAAGGATCTACATAATTTAGCTTGGTAGTGGTGTAAATTATACGTACAGACTGGTTTTGGATATTTGAAGCATTGTTTCCGTTTTGGGAAATAAAACTAGGTGAAGAAATCTGGTTATCCATCTTTTCAACTTTTTGAAGTAATTCATTTAATCTATCATATTTTAAGATAATTTACCTATCTTCAAGAGTTTTCTCCTCTGAAGTGTTTGCAGAAGCACCCTTTTTAAACTGGTCACCAAATCTGCTAGCTCTATATAAAGTAGTTTATTCCAAAAGGATACAGAAACTGTTTCATCCATTGAAGTTGCTCATCTATTTCCCCAACTTTGCTAGCATAATCTAGATATTATAATTCTAAAGTACCATTTTGTACCACTTTGATTTTCTCTTCCATTGTATGCTTAGTTACAAGAGACTCTACAACCCAGGTCATTATTTCGCTTCCAAAACTTAAAATTTGAAAATTCGAAAGAACATACTTATTTCCTCTCCAATACTGCTTCTAAAGTCTGCAAATTGGTTACCAATCATCCTCTCAACATCCTTCATATGAGTTGCGATTGTGCTCTGAGATATCAACTGTAAATTACCTTTAATATATCCATATTAACGAAATTTCATGATTTAAACAAGATTCCATGCTCACTAACTTGGTTTCCAATTTCATGCATTCTTTTCTCAAGTTTCACATATCTTTTCATCAAGACTCCACCTATAGATTAGTTAGGATATATTAAAAAGAAAGGATAGGGGTTAAGAAGGGATTACTTTTATCTTTCGATCTGAAATATTCGTTAAGCTTAAGATCCTTCACAATTTTGTTATCCATATTAGCTTTATTATGACAATTAATTTTAACTAACAATTATATTTGAGAGATTGGGGTTTTGGGGTTTTGGGGTTTTGGGGTTTTGGGG